CGTTTGGCAGCTTGAAACCCGCAGACAAGGGCTTCATTAGCACTGAGTCAAGCTCCTCTGCTGAGGTGGCCATTGAAGCAAAGATGCCCCGGTTGGGTATGTCTCGCGCAGCTATGTACTCCACGATCGGGTCGCCAAGGCCGGCGTCCCTGAGCAACTTCTCCAGCTCCGACTCGATCTTCACCATTGCACTTTGCGTTGGCCTAAGAAGAGGCTACGCAAGGAAATCAGAATACAAGACGCACTATAGAAGACTAACTCCTACAAAGCTCAAGAACCAATCAGCGCGAAGAGCAAGCAACCCTGGCACACAGCGCAAGGTAGGACTCATACGTCAACGCAGGCTGTACCCTGGCAAATCGCGACACTCACAAGCAACTGGTCAACGAACCAAGATTACTCACAATCGCAGCTGGGATCAATACCTACCGGTGGCTGCCAACACAGGATGTTTCAACGCATGTGGCTAAGAAAAGTCGTTACCTGAAGGCAAGTCTAAAAGCACTTGACAAGCTCGCAGCCAACACGCATTTGCCCAAGACTTCGATGCATCCATTGCTCTCACTGCAGCGCTCTGCACATGCGCCTGACAGACTGCTCACTGCTGGAGCGATTTCTACGACGACGCACGCCTGACTAGCACGCCAGGCTTCAGTCTGTGGCTGGCACGCCTGATTGTTGGCTGTCGGAGCCGGAGGACGACTCTTCTGTGTCCGATCTCGCCTTGTCTCCTTCTGAGTCAGGCATTGACTCACGCTCTCTACACGAGCTGTCTGGCGGGAAGCAATTCTTGCACTTCGGGACTTTCGTGTCCCAAGAAGCTCGACGAAACGAAGCGCGACCATACGGCCATCCACATCTCGCTCTCCACATGAGAGGCAACAGCGTCACCTCATTGGGATCTCTTGCGTGCGCTCTCCTTGCCAAGATGAGCTCTGGTCGCTCTTGGAGGTTCTCCACCTTCAGTGCCAAGTCTTTCAGCTGCTGGTTGACGCCGGCGAGGGTCTCCTCGACGCGAAGAGCCGCTGCCGGATTCTGTGGATCCGGGACCTGCATCTCTTGAGTCGCATCAGTATCTGGCTGCCCACAAGGCTGATGAGGAACTGGCCGGCGCGGCTCCGCAACTGTGAAGTTGTCCAAAGCCGCTTCTTGAGCATAGCGCTCCACACTTCTGGATCCCCAACGACCTATAAGCATAATTGTTGGGAGAGGTACGCCGCACCGAGACAAGAATTGCGCCCCACTGACGCGGAGAGCGTGGCCTCCAAATCGCTGGACCTCTCCCCGCATGCCAGCACGAGTGACTTCGATGTTGTTGTCAACCAACAAGCTGCGGATCAGCTGGATGGTCTCTGCTTTGGACAGCACGTCACCCTGGAAGGTAGAGAATGCTGGAGCTTCGGGGTC